TCTCAGCTGGAGAGCTTGGCTTTGAAGAAGTTTCTATTGTAGCTGAAACCTAGAATACATCTTATCTGAAAGACAGACAATGTGGCATGCTGTGAAGGCTACCAGAATACATTTGAGCCAAGGAATAGGGAGTCAAGTGGGGACACTGAGTCTTAGAGAATGGGCAAACAAAGTGGGTGGGATGAAGGACCAAAGCTAGCTTCTTCTCAGGCAGAGAAGTGCAGAGGTCTGTGCTCAAGGAACTGAAATAGGCATTGAGCAGCACAGGATGTACCCAGTCCCTAAAAGGAAGAGAGACTCCAAAGTGTTCGCTCGGTATGAGAAGTATTAGAATTGTCCTCTTAGCTTAGCACTGCCTTCGCTGTTACAGTGATGAGTAACTTGAGGGGTAGAAAAGTTTAACTTTAGCAGTGTTATTATCTGTGTCTAGATATCCTCGTAACAGCTCATGTGGTCATAAGTGGAGCTTTTCAGAGGAAGCTGGATCCAGGGAGTGTGATCATTCAATTAATGCATTCATTAATCTACTCATTGGTCTGGCATAGTTCTGTGTGTAGATAACGGGAAGGTGCATCCTGAGTGCAAGTGGCACCACCCAAATGACAGGTAGCCTGGATGGACACACAGGTATGGAAAGAAGGCGGTCCTGCTGCTCTTCTCCACTGCTCTCCTGCCTTCTGTCTGCTGTGAAGGATTTCTCCCTTTGCAACACCCTTCTGCCAGGCCACCCTGCCTTGAGGACAGCCAGCAATGGACTAAAAGCCTCTACAAACTGTGAGCTACAATAAACCTTTCCTCTAACTTGGAACATCAGATATTTTGTCTCAGCAACGAGAAAAGTAATTAAGACAGAATCAAAGTTCTGAAAAGATTATGAAAAAGTTTAGGGTGATATTTTTTTAAACTTGACTACACAATAGAATAACATAAGCAGCTTTAAGAAAACCCTTCAGCACTTCAGAACGTTTGGATGGGCCCCAACACTCCCCACTGCCTGTGCTGATTAAGGAATGCTGATTTTGGAAGAGCCTGAGGCAGGAGTGTGGTGGCCCTGGAGGGACATGAGGGGCTTGGCAGGGATGATGGGGGAAGGGTAATGACAGAAGTGGGGCGATGGGGGAGAAACTGGCAGGAAGTTGGCAGGCAAGGTGTTAGAACACAGGGTTCGGCTATGGAAGGGTCTTTCTGAGCTTGTCACTCCCACAGTTCTAACTCGAGTCTGGGTGCGAGACAGTGACACTGTGGCCGAAGTTTCTCCTGGGCATGTTTGTTAGACCATTTACCGCTGACCAGGATTTTGGTATTCCTGCATTATTAAAAGGTCATGAGGTGCAAGAAGGCCTCATCCATTATGCATGCTTGTTTCAGGCTAAGTGCTGGCTCCCCAGATGCTGAGAATTCATAAATGTCTCTTTGGAAAGCGCTGACCACAATGCAACCTGCTCCTGGGTTGTGTTCATGCTGAAAGCTGTTCACTGATCTTCCTCGGTGGTAGTCATCTGCACCTCCCTCACTAATAAACATAACGAAAGTATTTAATAAAATATTATTTTCTTGTGTGTGTAGATCTATGTGTGCCTTTGGGAAGACAGGTCAAGAGTTCTTAAGTGAAACTATGAGTGTGAATATAAAATACATGCATCAAACATTTCAGATGCAATGTAAATCTTATGTGATATGCTTTTTGCAATGATTTTTTTCTTGGAATTATTCAAAAGATTTACTTTAATCAGGACCCCATGATACCCCTACAGAAAGTCTTCCCTAAGACGAACTTAAGCCTAGCAGAGTTTTTATCCTGACAGTGCCTCAGAAGTATTATATTTGCAAAAAGTATAAAAGAAATAACCTGAAGCTTTACACCACAGCTGTGTGTTCATAGCACTTGTCCCACATCAAAACATCCAGGGCTAATAATCAAAACTGTGTCCAGGGCCAGCCAAATAGCTCAGCAGATTAAAGCGCCTGCTTAGGCAGATGCAGGGGCTGGTAGTTTGATCCCCATCCCGGGGGGCTTGCTGTGCTGGTCCCACCCCTGGAGGGGTGCTGAGATGGCAGCTGAGACTGGGTGTGGTGCTTATAATCCCAGAACTTGGGAAGCTGTAAACAGAAGGATGACTAGATCACTATGAGTCCAATCTACATAGTGAGACCCTGTACATCCTGTAGACCCTGTCCTAAATACAAAATAAAACCTAAAAACAACCCCTCCAAAAAACCTAAACAAACAAAAAAACCTGTGTCCAGTGGCTGGCCAGTGTCATCCATTCTCTGAAATCATCCTATCCAATCCACCACAAGGATCAGATGATGGCAGCTGGCTCCTCAAGTACCTGAGTCTCTTTGTGCCCCGTTGTCTTATCTTGCTTCCCAGAGGACCCGACCTCCAACATGAAGTTTTCTTAACAGAACTTTCTTTCCAAGAAAACTCCAGAAGGAAATAGCATGGCAGGACAAAATTCATTCCGGTGCACCCTTGGCTGATTCTTCTCCCACTTCTCTTCCTCTTGAGCCTACATGCTCTCACTGTCCTTCAGTGCCTTTGATGGCTGCCCTTGCTCCTTCCTTGGTCACGTCACAGAGTGTGGCATCTGCCAGGGCATTGCCTGCTTTCTGCATGTAACAGCTCTGTGGCCTGGAGCGACTTACTGCCTGTGCCCTGGGCTCCATACTTATCAGGTGGGGAGAGTGACACCTATCAGGTAGTTGTGCAGAGTAAATGAGTTAATATGAAATATTTAGAATTTTGTCTTACATATAGGAAACTTATCAGCAGTATTGACTATTATTGTTACTGTTTTCTTTTGATATTTTCCCTGATCACCTCAGATGACAAATATTGACAGAATGTTGTCGGTCTCAGCATCTGCTCCTTGTTCAGAAAGCCATACGTATTTTTCTTTTGAGAGACATTTATATACTTTAAAATTTTTGTCTTTTACTTGGTTATTTTTTATGCATTTGTTTTATGTATTTGATTATGCATGGTCTCACTATGCAGCTTGGACTTGCAGAGATCCTCCTGCTCTTAGCCTCCCCAGCTCTGGGATTCCAGGTGTGCACCACCATGTCTGGACTTTGTGGCAGGCTCAGCATACCCCAGAGCCAGGGCTAGTGCAGCATGTGGTGCTAGAGATAGAACCGTAGTCCCCTCACTTGCCTGAGCTTGCCTAAGCAGGAGTTTTCATTTGCTGAGCTACCTCGCTGGCTCCAAAATTCTTGTCTTTAATTGCCTCCTAATAATTATACAATTTGTGGGGTGCAGTTTGATGTCAGGCACCAAAATGCACATCCTGCATGATCTTACTCACATGTTGAATCTCTGAAACCAACCCCCCAGGAGTAGAGAATAGAAATGTCTGGGGATGGAGGTCAAAAAGAGACCAGCCAACAGTTACAAAGCCACCCGTAACTGTCCCTTTGTGTTACTGGATGTCTAATTTGTATCGTTAATTCAGTATTCTAAAAGAAAAAGCACTGTCAGAGATGGAGTGTTCCTGTCCTGCACAGTTCGTATTATCTCCTCCTGACACCCGACTTGAGGGTTGTAAGAGGTGAGGCTTTGGAGGTCAGGGTGGAGTTCTTGTGAAGGCATGAGGATCTTTGGAAGAGAGCTGTCTAGCCCCATCTACCACATGAAGGCACACAGGGAGGCCAGTGACCCACACCGAGGAAAAGGGTCCGCCCCCAAACCCAGTCACACTGGCACCCAATGTCAGGATGTCAGACTTCCAATTTCCAAAATAGTGAGAAACAAATGAATGTTATTTAAGCCACTCCACTGATGGGAAGGGAACTGTCACATGGCCTGCACTGACGAAGGCTCACAATCTGAAGTCCCCTGTGCCCCTACGCTGCTGCTGCCCCTTAGAGATGGAACTTGCATCTTCTCCCGATTCATTGGGTGCAGGTCAGCAGGTCCTCTGGAGATTCCCTTAAATGATCTTTCACTCCTGTTCCTTCCTCTCTCATTTCAATCAGCTCCCCAGCTCCACTGTGTACTCCTTAGTAACTTGATGTCTTCCCACCGACAGCAGACTGGTATTTCCAATCTATACTTCAACCCATCTTTCTGCCCTGTAATCCTCTCCAGCCTCCAGTAGCTCAACACACCGAATCCAACCCCTCTTGCTAACAACAGTCAAGGTCCGCCCCATCACAGGAACCTGTTTCCCTAGGCAACCTAGCATTAAGATGCTTGCACAGAGAGGTAATTCACTGTTTGCTTCCCTGTTTCTGTACACCACCTAGAAGTCTTGGAAGTTTTCCCTCTCTATTATTTCTAGTCAAAACTCAAGCACCACTAGCGCCAATCTCAAATATCAGCTCCATTTCTGATACCTCTCTTCTGAACTCCAGTAGACTCTGCCTCTCAGCTGTGAAATTCAGCACACTCTGGCTTACCTCCTCATCCCCGTCATACTTCCCTTATCCCTCCTTCTCCATCATAACTTCTTCAAACACACTTATTATATCCCTTAAAGCTTGAAATGGGATACAATGAATGGCAATAATCACACTAGGAATTAAGCTCATCTATTCTGCAAAGCAGCAGCCTGTTGTCAACTGCTAACCCTCTCCCTCACAACCCTCGTAAAAAGAATGGGAAAGCATATAAATGAAGTAGCACACAAGAGGAACATACTGCATGAGCAATTACGCCAATTTCTTTTATAGGAAGAACACAGCTGAGATAAACATGGAAGCACATTATTTACCATCCATAGGTCTCACTGCCAAGTTCTCGTACATTTTTCATTAAAAGAATTCAAAGGATATAAACAAAAGTAGCCCTTGGGAGGAACTGGCAGAAAGGAAGCAGCTCCTATGTCAGAATGGCCTCAGAGATATGGCCATTTTAACACAACACCCACTGGGAGCACAGACAGTGTCACACACCTGGGTGCCCACGCACAGGTGCTGGCCAGGTGCGCGTGGCCATGCCCAAGGCTGCCTTCCAGGTGAAGGTAAGGATGCTGGGTCCAATGGGAGCCACTTACCTTCAAGGCATCCTGGGTGTCATCCAGACAGTAGACTCGGATACTGTACTCGAGGGAGGAGCAGCACAGGGGTCCGAAGATGGCCAGCTTCAGGCGCTTCGCGGCTGCTTTGGTGGTAGCCTGGCCAACCAGGGCGTAGGTGCTGAGGTTCTCGGTGAGGATGTGGCAGGCCTGCGCATCCAGCTGAATGTAGCAGGGTGTGGTGAAGTTTTCTTCCCCAACCACCACCACATCCTGGAGGAGCAGAAGGCAAGGGCAAGACTGAGCCACGAAGCACGCCCACTGGGCCCGTGGATGGTACGGACAGAGCGCGACCTCCTCTCTCGAGCTCTATTTTCCTGCTCTTCTCCCTTTCTCAGACCTTATGATACTTCTGTCTCCAATCTAAATCATTAATTCCCTTTCTGTAGCTGCCTACATACTGATGTTTTTTTATGCACATACCATTTAGTGTCTCTTGATCATTGGAGAACTTACATGAAAACTTAAACATTTATAAATTATCCTTTTGTAATGTACTGAGCTTATTATCTGTTTCTGAGGATTTAAGGTTTTAATTTCTACATTTCTTATTTAATGTAAAAGACATATTTTATTCTGGTGTTAATATAGGATAGTACTTTTCCTTTAAAAATCCACATATTTGAAAAGAATTAAAGAAACTTAGGCATTATACAATCCTGTATTAGTGTGTTCTTCCAAAATTCAGTAGGCAGTTACTTCTCAAAGCAATATACTGCTCTTCCTAAACGATCCTGCTTGCCAGCTCTACAAAAGGTACTATATGGCAAGCTCTGTGTCTTTACTGCATGCTTCTTTTTGTCATGTACCCATCAGTCTATTCTTAAGCTTTAAAATAGATGTCAAAAATGAAAAATAAATGGAAGTGAGGGGTAAAAAATAGTGACTAATTCAATCAGGTTGATTTGTCCAAATGGCTCAAGCCATAGTATAAATAATGAGAGCAAGCAGAGAAAAGAATTCATGAAGTGATGGCCAGAGCTCCAGCTTCGTACCTGCTGGGGAGCTTCAGCTACAACTGGGAGCAGCTGGGCAGCACACAAGTGGTGCAGAGGGGCCTGGGGCAGAGGCCTTGCCTCTCTGAGGAACTTCGTGCTCAGCCTCCAGGTGGGAGAAACCTTGCACTTCCCAGGAGAAGCTGGAAGATCAGATCTTTATGCAACATCTTCCAGCATTTAACTAATTGAGATTAAGACAGAAGCCCATGTGGGAGAGAGAGAGAGAGCACACACATGAGCACAATCCACTGCACACACATGAGCACAATCCACTGTCTGCATAGGCCATTTAGTCTTTGCGTGGCAAGAGCTACGTCTCCTCTGCAGTCCATTGCCTCTTATGGGCCTGGTGCATGGTGAGCATCCAGCTACCATTTTTGGGGGAAAAATGATGGTTTCAGGATAAATGCAGTCTCCAGGCCTGGGAAGAGCTATGAAAGAAGTAGCCACCTTAAGTGGTGGTTTACTTGTTAGGCTGCATGTTACCACTTGAGCCTTAATAAGAGTGGCATTTTAACAGCATTGGTGAAATCAGTTTTTCAGCTGAACCTGTATCCCAAAAAGAAGCTCACACACAAAAGGAGAAATCAGAAAGAAGCTTAGTAGCTCTGAGCTTATTGCAGCCCCAAAGGACTCCTGTAATGAAGATGTGTTGTCCAGCAGGACAAAGGCAGGCCTCAGGACCACATAATGGCTCCTTATGGAGACCATGAAATGACAGGGCCAAGAACAAGGTGGCCATGCCCCAGAGCTTGGATCCTTTAGTTTAAGACAGCACTATATTTATTATTATTCAACCCCAGAGATGCAGGGTAAAGGGAGAGAATCTTGCAAACACTTCATGGTCTCTTAAGATAATGTTTTGGATTTTTTAAAATGTGAACAGTTTACAGAGTAAGTGAGATCAAAGTAAGATCTGGTTAAGTCTAGTCTTAACTCAATTTAAAGATAATCTAGATTTTAGATCCTTCAGCAGAGAATGATTTCCTTATATGGCCAGAAGAAACATGTTCACAGGAAGAAAAATCTACTTAATCCCAGGGTGCTCTGCTACTTTGCAAATTTTACATTTTCCTAAAGTATTATGGGCTTAAATTTTCATGTATATCTTTAGAAATTTCTTTGCTAAAACAAAAATATCATAAGTAATTACAGAATATATAACGTTTATTCCTTATATAATTTCAGGTTATACATGTATAAACTTAAATGCAAATTTATATTCATATAACAGTTTTTATAATTAATTGATATTACTTGACAAACATATTCCTGAGATATATGCATGGAGTGCAGAACTCTGATGTAAGGGACAGAACCCACTAAGTCACGGTCTTTAATAAATTATGGTGGTAACAGCCATACAGGGACAAGGAGCCACTGACAGTCCTCGTGCTAGTGGCACTTTGGAGATGTGTCCTTTCTATTCTACCAGGTTAAATTCCCAAGTCTAGTTTATAAGAACTTCTTCCTATTTGCTTTCAATCTTTCTCATCTTGCAAACTGACTAACCAACTAATTCCTTCCCAATAAACACTATCTGTAAGCTAGAAGAGACTTGTCTGAAACTTCTGAGTATATTTTTGCTGAGTTAGCTCATGGTTGATCATCTTTTGCTTTGTGTCTCTCAATCAGAAAATAAAGCACTTAGGAAACAGACTGTCTGCCCGACTCTACCAGGGCATGGGACCTACAGTCCACCCAGGTTTGGCTGTAGGGTTAAAGGTCTCCCATAAGTGTGCCACTGGACCCTCACCTCTACCCCCAGAAACCCCTCACCTCCCACTGGCCCTGTGCGGCCTGGTTCTTGAGCTGGATCTTCCAGTCCTCTGTGTTGGGGTCTGCGCAGTGATGCAGGGTGAGGACAACTGGGCGGGTGAGCAGGGCTCCGGGGGGCCCACAGCTCACGACTGGGGTCAGCAGTGTCTGACCATCTTCCATGGGTGGCCTGGGGGGAAGCAGGGAACCATCTCAGTGACATGTTATAACACTGATGCATTATGTACTTATCATTGAGAGCTGAGATCTAAAGTTGTACAAACAGTTCAAATCATTTTCTCTTGAAGCTCTTTTTTAGGGAGTGGGGCTGGGGCAGAAATAGATGGGAAGACATGCACTTTATACGGAGACTTTGATCCTGGAGGAGCAGAGGTCTCTATGATAACAGTGAATCTCTTTGATCTGCTCTGCTCAGACATAGGTCTGCATTTGGAGCTTCCTCTGATTTCATGAAGGGTACTTTCAGGGTGGAACGAGAAAGAATCAAGTTCTTATGAAGTTACATAACCAGCTTTTCTGATAATACTTGCCATTGGTCTCACAGGGATTTAAATACTTTTGTGTTTTTAGGACCAAACTGAAAAATACTTTTAAAAACATCACTTCAGAATGAGGACACCCTAGAGCTAAACTTAGTCCAAATGACTTGTGGGAATAATTCAGGCTAGGATAGCAGATTCATTATTGCAAATATGACCAAAAGATTATAGAACTGTATTTCTATGACAAGTTAAATAAAATGAGATCATTTGACTTACATGTTTCCTACTCAGAGAATTTGGGCAGAAAGAACCTCAAAAATTCAAATTCCTTTATCTTCTTGTATATTTTAAAAAATCTCTTTCATTCTTTACACCTAAAATAACTAAAAGCAAATGAACAAATTGACCCAACCTATCGCCAAAGTGTTGGGCAGATTACCTAAAACTTCTGGCTCACACAGGCTGGCTAGTGCTGGAACTAAAACGCATCTCTTCTCAAGGACTCTGCCCAAGATACCTTCAGAAGAGCTGGATTTGGACTGACAAGGGCCTTTGGGGGTCACGGAGCTTGGCTTCCACCTTGAGCAAGAGCATCACTTCAGCACACCAGGGTCTGATTAGTACTTCTGAGATAGGCTCAAAATTCCAGTCCCTGCCTACTAAGGGCCAGCCCATTATCTACTCAAATTGACAAAATACCCTAAGCTGATGTGAACACAGTATACCTTCCTTGAAATTTTTTTCAAATATCTCTGACCTGCTTTCTGGCCTACTTCATTTATTTGGATGTGGTTATGAAATCTCTAAAATCTTCTTTATTATAGACCAAACACCCTACTTCTTTTTCTACATCAGCTGGCAGAGCATGGTTTCCAGATCTCTCCCTGTATTCATTTATTTTCATTTTCATGTGGAAGATTCCATTTTTTTATGTTCTAATTAAATTTGGGCATCTTGAAATGAACCCAGTATACAAGTGGCCACTATGTGAGAATACTTTTTCCTTTGCTTTGGAAGATGTAGCATATTCATGCCTCACAAAATTGCTGCATGAGATTATTCTCCATCAAGTCATTATATATAAATATTATTTAGCATGCACCAGTTAGAGAAGTTCTAGATAGTATGGTGAAATATCTCCTTTATAAAATAAGGCAAGGAAAATGCTAGAAGGTTAAATAATTTGGGAAAACTAACCCAAGAATTATGAATGTGAAAGATAGGCTAAATCAAGACAGTTCTGCCTGCAGTAATGGCTTTGGAATGTAGGTATGTACATTTACATTTAGCTTTTTAATTTCACCTTAATAATCCCAAGGTAAATTTCTTAATACTTATCTTCCTCCAAGTAGTAGTTATCCTCCATAAACTGGCTATGCTTGCCTCTTACGTTCCTATTATAATCAGTGGTAATATCATGATGCAAGGGTAAGGTGGTAAGGCAAGAACAGAGAACTTGTCAAGAAACCTCTTTTCCATCTAGTGCCATTATTTCTAACCTTTTATTGATTTGGTACAGTGTCTTGCCACACAGCTCAGACTTGTAGTGATCCATCTGTCTCAGCCTCTGCAGTGCTGGGATTACAGGTGTGCACCACCATGCCCAGTTTCGGTAGCTGGCAAGGCACACTGGGAGTTCTGGGCCTGCACAGCATGCAGTACTGGGATTCAAACCTGGCTCTTTGTGCTCGCCAGGTAGGTGCTTAGATCACTGAGCTATCTCCCTGGTCCTTAATGCCATTATTTCTGAATTATTTAGTTCAACTAAATATAAACCCACTGTACACTGTCCAGGTGATACCTTTCCATCTAATCACATATGTGTTAATAAAGAATATATCAACGTTATTATAATTGCAGTACCTCCTTGCAATTGAGTTTTTTTACTCCTTCCAGTTTATCTATTATTTATTATATCTTCTAGAAGACAGTTTACCTCTATGGCTTACCCTAACTTAATACTCAGTGAATAATAGTAATTGTCATTAACTTTAGCATTGTTGGAAGACAGTTCTCCCTAATTTCTCACGATGCTGCATGTTCTGTCTGTTCAAGGCTACACAGCAGCTGCCTTGGAAGAAAAAGTCAGCGTTAACCTTTGGAGCAACTGGCAGCAGGTCTACTTCTCAGACTCAGGTTCCCTAGGGCCAGAGGCCTTTACTGAGATGCATAGATGTCATCTGACCCTCTTTGTGTCATCTTTTGTGAACTCAGGCTTAGGGAACTACCACAAAAATGACGTTACTTTGGGTAGTGCTATTTCTGTGACTAATAACTGTCCTTTGTCTCTGTCCTGTATCGGCAGTCATAAAACCAGCAGCTAAGTGGACAGCTGGAAAGACAAGGTCAAACCCTAGAGCTTTGCTCATCAACAACGACCTAAAGACTGAAGAAGAGCTCGGTATTTATCACTGTGGAGATCCGCAGGCTCTCACTGGTCCCTTTCTAGATCAAAAACTGCATTAGCGTCTTACCAACACATGTGTCTTCCCATTTAGAAACCCCAAACCACCTTTCCCTACGTTTGGTCCTTTAATATCATCTCCACTCTCGATGGCTAACACAGAATTTACTTTGTTAAATCTGAAGTTTCCTAGGTACTTGGAAATGCACCTCAATTTTGGAGTCATCAGGTTATCATTAGCAACTTCAGCCCTCCTGACAAGCCACCTCGGTTTTCACCTCCCCTTAACCCAGTTTGTCCTTCGATCTGGTCTGAAATTCATTCTCTTCCAACATGAATGAAGTTTTACTTTCATCATGTTATAGTTAATAACACACTCTCTGCCTCAGGCAGTGACTTTATTATTCCCTAATTCTACTTTTTTCCTGCCAAAAGAGGAAAAAAAATGACAAAGATTGCATTTTCCTGAGCTTTACTATTACCTTTTAGCTACAAGTGTACTTTGAGAAGTGAGCATTAAACTTTAAGGAAGGAGACTAAAGTGGAATCCACTTCAAGTGGCCCTTGCAATCTAGTTGGGGATTGGAAACATCTGTCTCTCAGGCTGGCATTAGCAGCTGGCACTGGAAGTCGGGGAGAAGGGGTGCTTCTCCGAGGTGAGTTGGAGCAGAAGGGAGAAGACTCCCTGCTGGGTGGGGGCTCTGTCAGCAGGTGGGGCACCATGCTTGGAGCAGGGAGAAAGGAGTGGGACAGTGCCAAGAGAGCTTCTGAACCCAGTGAGGTGCCTGAATGCAATGAATAGGGAGTGCTGGAGATGAATTCTTACAGGGGCCAAAAGCAGAAACTGAAAAGAATCTCATATGCTTTTAAGATGAGAGAAACACCATAAAATTGGAAATATCTCCAAGCATAGGTAGAAGGAGTGATTTAGGTGCAAATTATGTAACTATGATAAACCAAAGGGCAGAGTTTCTGAATCCACATTGCTTTTTTTTTTTAATGCATGAGGATATTAAGCTATGTAAAACAAAATAGTCAAAATAAATGAATCTGATTCATATTTTTGCAGATTTTTCTCTCTAGTCTCATATGTTACCTAAACTGTCCAAGCAAACAATCTGCAAATATTCACTGCTTTTGATACAGAAATGAAAACAGACAAAAATTAGCTACACAAGAAATTAGTAAAATGCAGCAAGGAACAATGACTCAAATTTTAGTGGTTTTTCAAAGTCCAACAAGCATAACATCATGGTAAATGCTAGATGGCTTCCGAGTCCTCCAGGACAATCCCTGTGAAGAGTTCATTTCCTGCCAGAGCTCTTCTTTGTTGGCTGTTATCAGCGAGGGTACTTCTACCCCCAAGTCCATAATTTACAAACTCCCATACAAGTAATTGCATTTGTTCCCCACGGCACACCTATAAGGTATTTGGAGTAAGAATTTATGTCACCTCTTCCCCAGAAGAGGAAGCTGCAATCCAGAGATACTAACACATTTGCCTAAGGACACGAAGCTAGCCATCAGCAAAGTTAGATTTCAAATACAAGTCGTTTAGTTTCTTTCATAGCATGGCCTTTCATGGATTTCAGTTAGAACCTTCACAGCTGTTTTGCTAGAACAAAACATTTTGGAAAGAACATGCCCCCACCCAGTGCCTTCTTGCTGCGGTTGCGTGTGCCCACTGTCAGGTCCCCAAGAGGACAGCACCATGCTAAATGCAGCTGCCTTTTAAAGCACATGCCGTCCCACATAATGGGCAACTTGAAACATTTGCACTCCAGGTATTTGACAGGGAATACCTAACTCACCAGCTATCACGAGCTAAATTGAGCAAAAAAATATTTATGGAAACCACTCTGAAGGGCATATCACCATTTACCCAGACAGGCAAAGTCCATCCCTGGATTGAGGCAAACAGCGAGCACTGTGCTCTGGACAGGATGGAGCCACTGTGCTCCCATGGAACCATTGCGCTGAATGCATACTTGGGCCTTACACAATCTAGTTCTGCTGAGGGACACCAGTGAGGTGAAACTCATTGCAATTTTGATGTGAAAGATGCTGTTTATTTATATTAAAATGTCTTCTTCATAAGGAAGCAAATCATAACAACTGAGTCTTCTCTGGACATACTTTTTTACTTCATAAAAATGTGGATCCTCTAACTTCCCACGTTCTCCTTTCTCAAGTTTGGCAGAGTCAGCTCATGACTTAGTGCCAGCAAATGTGCTGCGAGTCACTTCAGAGATTGTGCACCGTGACCGTCCACCTGACTTCAACCTATCTTTCATAAACTTATTTTTCTCATTTTCTTTTTCAAACAACTTTAAATGTTGTGCCTTCAATTGAAAGGAATGTGGTTTTATAAACCATTTTGAAGCACTTCTTTGTAAGTAGGCTTTCAATAAACCCTACTTTTAAGCAAGGCTTAGAATCAGGAGAGAATGAGATGTACATACCTGTACTCCACGGCCTCTCATCTCTAGATATTATAGTAACTCTTCAAACTGAGGATCTTGGGACTCATGAGTGTTACAAAAATCTCTACTTAAAACAGGAAATATCTCTGAACTTCACTGAGACATGCCAACTACTAACTACTATTTTACAAAATACCAAGCAATCACATTACAAAAACAACTCCTATATAGTTACACATCTAAGGACATTTTAGCCTTTGACTCTATCCTAAATGTGCTCTTCTATTTCTATTTAGTAGACCTCTGCAGTTTTGTTTTGTCACTAACTTATATTTCAGCTGTACCTACAAGAATTTCACCCATAAACATTTCCTAAAAGCCACTGATGCCCTGTAGTTGACAAATCCGTTACTTTTTATTGTTCTTCCACCATCTTTATATTTTTTAATATCATCACTACCTGCTGTATCTTGAAGCCCTCTTTACTTTTGAGTTTGCAGATACTCTTATATTGTGGCTGATTCATTTATCCTTACTAATATTCATTCTTTCATTCAAAAATGCTCACTGAGCAGCCACTCTAGGTTCAGCACCATGTATGTGCACATACATGGTCTTCAGTATCTGCCTTGTCTTCTTGTTCTATTCAGTTTCTCAGGCACCCAAACCTGTGCAGGAATATTCCTCCAGAGACAGGAAAGCAGAGCAAGCAATGCTCTGTGAAAGCACCTGTCCCATCACCAGCTTAGCTGGGCTACTTAGGCACTACCCTGGGCCTTCTCTGAGAGCCCAGCGAGGAATGAGGAGGTCTCTTGTCACATTCACAATGCTTTGTGTAATTAAGTTCACAACTCCTTCAGCCAACTCACATCAGCAAATGACCCTTGGCATAAGGTTCAGCTGGAAACATACCCAGTTTTGGACACAATGAAAAGAATCAGAGAGGGGGAACTGCTCAAAATTTCCCTACAGATGCCTTAAAGTAACAGCCATTTCTCTGCAGGTGCTTGCCCTGTCTTCTCCCAGAAAAGTTGTGTCATTGCCTAACCTGTGAAGCATTAGCAGGAGTTCTAGTGAACAAAAAAGTGTGTGTCCAAAATGTAGAACAGTGAGCAGGTAGGGGTCTGATCTGCACAGCACGAGGCATATTTCCTTTAGCAATCCTGAGCTCTCTTCAGCTTCATTTTAATAAACAGAAGTCCTTTGATGCGCACAACTTCACCAGAGCAACACCCTGGGCACCTGACTTCAGGTGGTAGGCAGAGCAAGGAGTGATATATCATTTCCTTTGCTTTCTAGTCAAAGGCAGTGGAACCTAAAAGCGGAACTGTGTAGTTTTATCAATTTTCTGTGTTTTCTTTCCTTTACCTGAAATGTACAATCACCCTGGTTGTGTGTCCGTGCAGCGCCTAGCTGTTCCTTCCAGCCGTGCCCTCTGCAGTCTCGAGCTTTAGTCACAGACCTGGGTCACCCCAGGAAATCAAGACCATGAGCACCTCCCTGCTCTATGAAAGGCACGCGGCAATGCTCATTTCTATTTAAATTAAGTGTCCATGCTGGCAAAGGCCTCTGTGGATGAACAGATGGATGGATTTAACTCTAACCCTGACTCTAGTCAAGGAAAATAAAATTAAAAAACCTTAACATTTTCTAATCTTTTCTCCTGTTGAAAAATTGGGGTGCTTTGAGGATCTGAGCAAGTTTCTTCGCCACGGGAATTTTTTTAAAAAAGAATAGTTGATGTGGGTAAATACAAGCCTATTAGTGATGCTCTGTTGTTCAAGTTTAAAGCATGAAAAAATGCTTAAGGAATTTTGTTATTCTCTTAGTTTGGCGATTGTTTGTGTAGGAGAAAGTATAACATCTAAAGAAAAAAACTGTTCTGGGTCACACCGATTATAAATACCAGTAATGCTACCTGAGTGTGTGATAAAAGAGCTTTTCAGCTATGAAGAGCACGACTAAAAATGGATGCTTTAGTGATGAGAGCAGGAAAGGAAAAAGGAATAACACGGGATAGTGATAACCTAGTTCTACATTTGTCCCTCGCGCTTTGTACTCTGGGCTGAGGGGGCGGAGCAACGCCCTGTGGATCCGCGTGGCCACAGGGCCTTTTGGGTGAAGACCTTGCTGTTCTTCAGAAGCTTGCGTCAGTTGGGCTTCCGACGCAGAATTCACCACATGCTTGCACACTTGATGTGGGAACTAATCAAGAAAGAAGTCTGCGATTTATCAGAGATCAATCAGAAAATTGAATTCGAGATTTCTAAATGCCTCATTATTTTTACTTAAATTTATTGTTATGATTATGACATATTTGAAACAGAGCCTTTTGAGTCAATCTAGTTTTTTTTTTTTTTTTTTTTTAATGTATTTGGCACAGGTTCTACAGGGTCTACAGGGTCTCACTAGAGTCAATTTAGTTTTGATCAACCGTGGGCCCATTTGGAAAGGCCGCACTATGGAAGCGGCAAGCACTAAAGATAAGCAGGAAGTTGGTAACACCTTGGCCGGGAGAGATGCAGAAGGAAGAATCTGTGGCTAAAAGCCTGGGCTGCGCTGAAGCAGTGGAAGTGGCAGGGGTTGAGGGGTGAGCAATCCCTGTGATCTTTCACCTCCTAATGTGAACAGGCTGGATTCTCGAGCCACGCCACATGGAGTCCCTGTCTGTGTTGACCCACATAGAGCTCTGGATAATCTGTGTATTTGGGCTGCTTTTTGCTTCCTAAAATGGTTGCCTATCTATTTGGGAATGGTGTGTTTGTCATTCCATTCATGCTGAAGATCAGCAAAAGTGTCTGAAGTGTTAAAGATAAAGAAAAATAAAACTTGACCTTTTATATGCCTAGGGAAAAATGTATGTCACTCACTGTATGCTTTAAAACTATGTGCTTATTTCTACTGTACAATTCTCAAAGTTAGACATTTAGAAGTCAAGTGATCAGAGAGACATATTTACCTCATAGCTTCTTTCCTGTGTACAGTCACATACATCTCGTAGACTCTCCCTTGGGGAATGGCCCCTGCAGGAATCAACAAGCTCACTCCTGAATAGCAAAGGGAAAAGCAGTCTTATAAGACCTATGAATCAAAGGGAAACTTTGGGAATGCTTTTGCAGCAACCAAAGGGAATGAGATTTTTTTTTTTTTGTGAGCATATAACCCTAAGCCTGTTTTGTTTTCTCTGAAGACATGTAAATATTCATAGCTGCCCTGCCTTCCTTCCTATGGGCCTTACTTGTTACCACAGCTCCCTCTGAACTGTTATGAAATTACTTAAATGAATGAGGTGATTTTTAAAACTCTTGTTTTATTTAAGGAATCAGACAGATGGTTCCACTGTTGTTTTCCTTGTAAAACAAGGAGAGAACCAAAAACTGCTATTAAAATTCCAAACAGCTATAATGATGCATTATTTCTAATTAAAAAAATAAATTCCCCACAAGATTCAGAGTTAGGGAAATGCCAACTTTAGCCTATCAAAACAAAACAGAAACAAAAACTCTAAACATTTATTTTTGAAATACCTGGTTAGCATCACTGTGATTCTACAATAGAATTGAGTTGGTGAGGAATCTTTTTTTTTTTTTTTTTTTAACCAGGGATTGAATTTAGGCTCTGAGCTTACCAGGGAAGCACTTATTCCACTGAACCATCTCCCCAGCCGGAGGAGTCTCTTTTATAATCTAAACCTCTAAGAACTGAACAGCTGATAGTTTCATCATAATTGGTTACAACTTAGCCACTAACTGGGGCTCTTCAGGAGGATGACGAAGGTGAGCTGCATTCTAAGCTAACTACCTAATAGTAATATTGGAAAACCTGAGCTTTCTTCAGGCTTAACCAGAAGGCTTGTGGAAGTCTTATCCAGAATCCCTGATTCAGAAGGTCTGGGGGTGAGTGAGAGAATGTGCTGTCCTAATAAGTTGCCAGGTGATGCCCAGGATGGAGGTTTGGGACTCACCCAAGACATGCACTACTGGTCACCATCACAAGGAGTGACTCAGGGTGGCCAGCACTCTGAAGACATTTGCTCCACCATTTTATTCCCATGAATGCTTGGCATATGTTGGGAACTCTTGCTAATCTGATAAATAAAATAAGGCAGGTTGCTCAACACTGCCTTTTACATATTAAGAATTTAATACATGTTTTCTCCCTCTCTTTCACTTAAGAAGCCTTTAAAATATCACATATCAAGATGAGGCAGGCATTGAACAGGGAAAGGAAAAGCAGAATAATCTGAGTACCACAGGGAAAAGGCACCTTAGAAATAATTACAATGTTTAATGTAAGAACAATAGAATATGCCCTGATATAGTCATTTGATGCACTATTATAAATATACTTTTATATCATGATTTTAAATAAACATGCAAATAGCATGGCACAAGAATTAATGAGAAAAAGGTGAAGAAGTTTTATGATTTTACCTCTGTAAAAACTGAACAAAAAAGAAAAATGGAGTTCGATTTAATATTTTAATAAAATTAAACTTCCTGGGCATTGAAACAAGGGACTGAATAAGAACAAAAGATAGGTTCATGTTCAGGCCGCAAGATCAAAGGTCTATATATTACTTCATCATATTTTAAAAATATGACATTAACACATTAGGTTGAGGAAGTTGCTTTCTAGTATTATATTTAAAAATTCATAGCCTTGTCCAAAAGAATTAAGGGAGATTCAGAGAGGGAGTTACTAGCTCTCTAATGACTCAAAGTTGCAAACCCAATGCTCTTATTGATTAATGATTTCTGATCTCTAATCCAATGCTGTCAGTCACTAAAAGAAGTTCACCAAGAAAGACTTTTATGTGGTCTTTTTTCTAGATGCAAATAAAACTACATAACAAGTTAAAAACTAAATAATAAAAAAAGACATCTCAAGGTAGGGATTTTAGGTGGATATATGAGAGGACTGAGGGAATATTTTATGAATACCTTATAGATAAAGACTCTGGAATGAAGATTTGATGTCTACTTTGATATTTCTGATCATCTGAACATTAGCATTCTGAAGGTTTTCCTCCATTTGTAAATAATCTTGATCAATTGTTATATTTTCTAATTAATAATCCTTTTAAGGTATAGGGACAGCAGCTAGCTAGGGTCACTGGCTTGATGTTGCCTGTAAAGTTCTACTAAAAAGGTCAGTGACAGTTATAAAGTATAGCTCAGCAGAAAATTGTGAATAAAATATTTCTAGAGGAAGTATTTGCAGAATTGGTTGGGGAAGATAAATGGTTTTGCTGATTTTATGTGAAGCAATATTTGATTTATATTTAAAGCAAATTTGGCATAGATAGGCTATATGGAACTCTTTAGGTCTAATGAAAACAAGAAAGACTGGGCACAAAGAGGACAGCTGCAAGTGGTGTCTCCACCACTCCAGCTCTCAAGATTACCTGAGCTGGGGACAATCAGATGACCCCCGAGGGAGTTGAAGGTGCCAAATGCTGTACAAGATGGATCCGTCTGTCTGGCAAGACTCTGGTTCTTCAGGTTGAGAGCCTCATTCTCCAGCAAGGATTGTGTCATCTGGGGGGACAGCTTGGATGTAAACTCAGAGAGGTCATCTTGGGGAGTGACAGCACCTGAGGTGTTGTACACTTTGATTTTCAGGTTGGGCAGTGGATCCAGAATTGGAGAATTGGTCATGGGGATCTTGTCTGAGACATCATGCAGGGCGTAGACAGGTCCTCTGTACATGGCTGCAGCTGATGTGAGGTCTGGGGGCACTGCCAGGAGATCTGAGGCAGAAAGAGAAAATGATTCCCTCTGAGTTCTCTACTCGGGTGACCTACATTAGTCAAGACTCCCCGCCCACCCTCTGAACCAAGAGCAAAGCACTCAGCCAATACTGGAGATGTAGAGACTCAGGCTGTGCTGAAAATATGGCAGCCAGTCCATCAGCATCTGTTTTATGATTGGCCATTTCCAAGTAGCCCAGCCCACTCTGTGTTTAGCTTGGAAACTCATGTTACATCGAAGTTAATGGGCTGTTTCAGCAGACAGTACTGTACAATAAAGCCTACAAGGAAGGCACTGTTTGGTAAGAGTTTCCTTTGTCTGCACTGGATTTGGGTTCATCTGTAAACCACTGCACTCAATGCAATACAAGAAGACTCATTAAAAAAGGGGAGACAAAGAAACTAGAGGTTTCTTGGGGTTGGTCAATAAATCAGTGTATTTTTAAAAGATAGAAGTTCAAAAGTAGGACATGGAAACTGTGGGAAAGAAAAAAGATAATTTGCACACCTGCTCCATTCCAATTTGGTATGTGGACTGATAACAACCCAGTAATGAGTGAGCTCGATGAAACTTGCTGTCTTCATGGAGCTTACATTCTAGCTGAACTAGATGAACCAAATGGCACCGATCTGAGGCCACAGAGGGAAACTGCTCACACAAGGAACAGTCTTTCATAGACTACTACTGACCTTGTCTGGCTGCCTTGATGTTCACAGGCTGGAAACCCCCATTGAGTGCCGAAGAGTCAATGATATCAGACTCAAAGTCCCGGTGATTCTTGCGATACACAAACAGGGCGACAATGACAGAGATGGCCAGGCACACTATCACCGCAATCACAATCCCAACATAAAGAGCCACATCATCTGAGTCAGGAGCAGCTAGAGTGGAAGAAGGAAACATTGGGCCAACTACTATGAAAAATTTCCCATAGGACACATATGTATTGCTATAAATTTTTCAGATGTTTATTGCCTTTTTTATAGGTTAATTTCAAATCTATTTTGAAAGCTATATAAAATGACTGTGGCCTTTCAGTGGAAAATTATCTCTGATTTCTTTTTCTTTTTCACTCTGCATCAATCCACCCACTAATCTATCTTATAATTGGGCAGCATAATAGACCATTTATTACTCACATATGAAGAAACCAGAGCTACAACCATCCCAACCCACAGAGAAAAACTAAATGTATTACTCCTTTTAAATGAAAAAAGGTTTTTTTTGTTTTTGTTTTTTTTTGTTTTTGTTTTTGTTTTTGTTTTTGTTTTTGTTTTTTCAGAACTGGGGATTGAACTCAGGCCCTTGTGCTTGCCAGGCAAGTGCTGATTCTACTGAGCTATCTCTCTGGCCAAGTTTGGGCTTTTTAATTCACTGATAGTTATTTTAAAAAATAAACACTTTAAGAAATACATGGCATTTTTTGAGTCTGTGTATTTATTGAGCAAGAATATTTTCCTAAGTATCATTCCAGGTCATAAAATCACTTTCCCTACCTCTCTCCTTCTTACTCCTAAGTCAATGCAGGGGCAGGTGGGAATCATGTAACTAAGCAAAGCAAGTATTAGCAGCAAACACTGGACTAGAAAGGCATGCTTTTAGATAGCTCAGGTCAGGGGAAGAGGGTAAGGCCATGCTGTTCTTCAAGTTCAGACTTCTGGTACAGACACGCTACCACCACTAAGGACCTCGAGCTTCTCATGGGCTTTTATAAGACAGTTACATCTGAGCCTCTTGTTCCTGGGCTACGCAGCTCTAGAGTACACTAAGGTAGTTGCAGGCCTGGATCAGTGACCAAGAAAGTCAGGTTACCCTAAAAGCCAAGTGAGCTTTGATAACTACAGGGTGCAGTCCACTGGGGGGCCTGTTTCTGGGTAAAGGAAGGAAATAATTTCTATAAATACTTCCTGTTTCCTCAGTGTCTTGAAGCATGCTTTGATCCAACTGGAATAGGCAATAGAACTGGTAATTAAAATATCAGCAACAACATTAAACCCCTGCAGAACCACTTTGCCGGTTTTAAGTCTCTGTCTTCCACGTACTCTGACCCACTAAAGAGTTTGTCAAAGATAACAAAAGCTACTCTGTTCTCTGAAAGAGAGGGGGTCACTTTGGTTCTTCAGGTGGTCAAGAACAACCTTAAATTTTATGATCAGTTTTATATATGTAAGCATTTTGGGGGTAAGAAGAATTTTCAAATGGGTAAGTCCTGGGACCTAAAACCGTGAGAAGCCATGCTCTCTTTCCTCTGACTCACAGTCACATGGCTCATTTGAGGAAACAGCTCATCTTTTCCCTTGCCAGCAGCACATGTGTTAGCTCACAGGCTGGTGTCACAGTGGCCTCCACAGGCTGGAGGCGTAAATGAATTTCCTGTCAGAAATTGTTCCACCTCTTTTGGCACATTGTGTTTAAATGTCAAAGGATTATGCTTCTTTTAAAAAATACTGTCCTTCCCAAAGTTTCCAAAATATCCACTTTTCCATAAATCAAGTCAATTTTGGTTTACTTTTTCCACAAAATAATGAATCCCAAACACTCTTGGTTGCATGAGTGTGGTTTTCCAAGTGCTGCTTCTCTCTGCTACTGCTGGGTTTTATTTGGGACCCAGCCACAGAATTCTAAAGTCTGGTCAGAACATCGTATGTAAATCCTTAATGTTTTACTTCAGCAGGCCACGATTACTTATTCAACATCCATGAGTCCTAGAACAAGAGATATGCATTTTACCAACCTTTGCCTTTTCAGCATTTGAACCCTGCCCTTTATTTCTATCAGCAAATTTCGTGACTGTTTTCTCAGTTACTGGGCTCAAGCTTTAAATGGTAGACTGATAGATTGGAAAGCTGGCCGAGGCGCGGAATGACCCTTTCTTCTCTCCAGCATTGGAAATCTAATTTGTTTTTCATGTTAGAATGTATTAGGCTCCTATTTTCTGTGTACACATCTGTGATCCAAAGAAAGGCAAACTGGAACTGGGGGCAATAATGTTAAATGATTATTCAGCAACATAAAATCCAGACATCAAACTTACAAGAAAATCCATATTCATTCTGGGTTCTCTGTTCAGTTGAAATGGGATAAATGAAACCTTGAAAAGAAAAAAAAAATGAAACAAAAAATGGAAACAAAATCAAATTAATGCAGGAAACAAGATAGGAAGCATGAAAAATGGTTTAATTAAAAGAAAAGGGAAAGAAACCTGTGGCCCTTTAAAATTCTGGTTCAGTACAGAGTTATGATTTTTTTGTATCCCTGTCTGCACTGGAGCCTCACTAAGAATTAATAAGTAGGCAGATTGAATTTCAGAGCAAAACTGGTCTCGAGTCACTAACTTTGGAGTGCTTAAAGTCTTTCTTTTATTGAGCATAAACTCTAATGGATCTAATTTATTTCAGACATCAAGGGTCATTAGCATAAGGAAAATCTTTTTTCCTTATCCCTGCCATATGCTTTAATTCCCAGGACATACTCAGCAAGGTTCTAAACAGTTTTTTCTTTCTTATTTAATCATAACAGCTTGCTCTCGGTCTAATAGAAATAAAGAAGACCTGTCTTCACTGGTCAAAGGTTAAATACCCATTTACTGCGTTGAGCTGTGACCACCTCTCCCTGCCCCCTCCTATTCAAATCCACTTTTTGGATTTTCTATCATGTCTTGTCCCTTTCATTTCATAGGAATCCAATGAGGATAGCCCAGGGGTTGCACAGGTTGTCAATACAATGGGAACTGGATGTTTTTTATTTGAAATCACTCAAAAATCGATAGGACCTAGAGGGTATAAGGTTAGTTATTTTGGAGATTCAGAAGAATTCTGTAAACTGGACAAAAATACTAACCTCATCTTAAGTGAAAATGAAGAAGTGAAGTTACAAGTTTTCATGTATTCTGAAGCAGGGAACTAATAATAATACAATACTAATCATGATAATACAATGCGGATGAAGACAGAGAGAAAATGCTTCAAAAGGATAAAACAAAGTTTTTGAAATAAAAAATCTGAGAGCAGATTTCAAGTATAACTTATAACTGGCACCAACAATTCTCCAGGGGTTAGTACTCTGCAGCATATGAATTAATCAAATAACGTGGCATCATTTGGATTAATCAAATAAGGAAGAACACGAAGCAAACATAGTACTCAAGGGCAAAAATACAGGGAGACTGTGAAAATTATGACTAATTGGTTCAAAGATGAAAGATCTTTAAGCCTTTTCCACTAAAAGCAACTCCAAAGCATGCCTGGGTAGCTGTTCTGCAGTCTGCAGGACATTTGGTCCTAAAACAAGCTATTTATCTATTTGAGGAACTAATTCTGGGAGATGCACAGTGCTACTTTAATGAAAGAGAGGTTTGCTATAGCACAGATAGGTTTGCTCTGAATTAATTTTTAATGCTTTATTTTAGAGCAAGGATTGCAACCTTCTACTCAGTTTTATAAATATTATATTCCTTATCCTGGTTGTCCGAGTCCATGTATTAGGTTTGATTTTCATTTTTAAACATCTCTGTCTGGTAATAACCTTTTCCCATTTGTATTCTGTTAACTCAGTAAAAGGACATCTGGGACACATACAGGCTTTATTTCAGAAATCCAAACAAGTTCACTATTAGCAGGAGAGAAGAAAAGGATGCCACCCTTTGGAAATGGTGATGTGAGGCAGAGAAATGTCAAAGACTTATTTTTACAGGTGAGAGAGAGAGAGAGAGAGAGAGAGAGAGAGAGAGAGAGAGAGAGAGAGAGAGAGAGAGCAAGGCACTGGGTATGAAATGGGATGCTTGCAAATGTGCTGCTCTTCATCTGGAAAGTCTTGCTAAGGACACAGACATGTGCAATTAGGTGGAAGGGCAGAAGCTTAAGATGCTGCTAGCCAGAGACAAATAGCACAGTCCGCGATTCCATCCTCACTGTAGAACTTGCGCTCTTGACAGGCAAAGAATAATGGAAAGGAATTTTGTAAACTTAATTTTAATTTGTGCTTTCTCTTATTGAGATTATCCAAAGATGAGAGTGATATTTTCAAAGTTACTTAATATTTTGAAATACAATGAAGGTTTATTTTTCTGAGATTTATATTTAACTACAGCAACAGAATGAAAATTAGCATTCTCACTCTTACAACCAACTCCTTGAGCCCCCTTACATTCTAGGCTTTGTTCTAGCCAGGGGAGAATACTTTCCTATATCCAGGGTGCTTATATTATATCTTTACACGACATAAGTCAGTACACAAAGTGCCAGATAATTTGAAATGCTCAAGAAGTCCTCTTAACAATAAATTTTAAAATGTAATATGATTGGAGATATCAAGATGGCCAACCCACAAAATTAGGGAAGAGTTTTTGCTTTTGTTTTTCCAGATACATTTTGAGCTAAGCATTTATGATGAGAAGGAATCACTCAGGTAAAAATCAGGAGGCAGAAATGACCCCGTGTGCAAGATCCTCATATAAAATCAGAGTGGGAGGAGCTGGACGTGTGGGGAGAGGTGAGATGAGGGAGAAGGGCAGCTCCCAGTCCACACAGGCCTGATGGCTCGTAGCACAGAGTTTGAATTTTATCCAACAAAATGCTACATCTGTGACTAAATCCAATTTTGAGAAAAAAAAACTTTAAAAAAATAGAAAATAAATTTCAAAACAAGCAAATTAGGATTTTACAAATGATTTCTGGCTTCGGTGACATCCAACAATGAATCTATCAATATACTTAATGTAGTGTTTACATTTGAGATTGTTCTAAAGTAAAACACAGAAAAACTCAGTATTAGTTATTCTTCATAGCCAATTAGAACCAATCTAGCCAAATGGTTACTTTCCTACATGGGAAAATTTAAAGCAGACTGGTATTAAGTGTTCTCATAATAGCTCAACACCCAATTTACTCTGTTATGGAAACACTGATGAAGAGTTTCAGAAAGCAACCCTAACACACTTTTTTCCATCTCTTTCAAAACACTTCTGCACCTAGAAGTAAAACATCACTTAGAGAGCTGAGATTTAGAGAAGAAAGGGATTACTGTTCCATTCCCTAAATGAGGGGAACGCAGGAGCACTTTTTCGTGTTTGTGTTTATGCCTGTCCATCTAATCCATTTCTTGCAGAACAACTGGGAACATTTTCTTGAGCTAATGAGGTGACCCTGCTGAGATTTGTCCTACCAATAATGAAAAATAGCATCTCTTGCAGAACACAATAAAAAATAATTGTTTTTAGTGTCTCTACCAAAGTTAGGGATTGCAGTCAACTTCCCTGCTACTTGAAAGGAAGGCAGACTAGAAAACACCAGGGCTGTCAGCCAAGGTGGTGAATACTCACGAACTTGAGCTTGTCAGCTCCATGAACTTCAGTTTGACCTATAGCTTGGCCCCTTTAGCTGTGAGAGCTTGGCCCAACTACTTCCCTACTCTAAGCATCAGTTTTCTAAAATGTGTGAGGGCTACAAATACTTGTTTTTATAGCTGTTGAAATGAGATTTGTAAGTGCTGATACATTGCAAGTAATCAATAAATGATGAATAATTATATCATGACACACATGCTAAGCTGGACTAAGACGCTTACTTTTTAAGAGATTTTATTTATAGAGTCAATGCAGCTTATTATTTAATGAGTGACCTTAGGACACTTGTTTGAATTTCAATTTCCCCAGCTATTATAGATGCGAGGAACTCACTCCTTCTGAGAAACTATAAGCAATGGATTCTTAAGTACTGTATACTCTTTCACCCTGTCTTGCATAAAATTTGTGTTTGGCCTTCATCATTTCTGGCAAAGACACAGAGACATGTTTCAGAAGCAGCTTTCCAGGGCCAGAGTTATTAACACTGATGCTCTTTAACAGGTTTCTCAATCTGAAGTGGTGCTACTGCCCACAAAGGTACCTAGAAAAGGGGAGAGGTGTTGATGTTTTGATTGTCACATGATTCAGGGACCTTTTTAGCATTTAATGAGCGGAAGGAAAGCATACTGAATGCCCTGTATTGGGAGGGCGTCTTCCTAAGATGCCCTTAGGAAGATATGTCTAGAGGGCTGGTCAAATAGCTCAGCGGATTAAAGCATCTGCAATCAGGCACAGGGGCTGGGTCTTTGATCCCAGGCCTGCTGTACCGGTCCCACATCCAGGGCGTGCTGAGATGGCAATTGAGACTGAGCATGGTGGCACATGCCTGTAATTCTAGCTCTTGGGAGGCTGTAAACAGGCGGATTACTATGAGTCTGATCTAGTAGTGAGACCCTGAGCACCCTGTAGACCCTTCCCTAAAATACAAAATAAAAAAAAAAGAAAAGAAAAAAGAAAAGTAAAAAGAAAAAAAGGAAGATATGTCTAGAGCAAATGTTCCTCCACAGATGAAAACTATCGGGGTCATCTCTCCTGGACTGAGAAAAGAGATGTAGGATGGAATTTGAGGAAGGGGAAGCTGCAACAGCCAATCTAGGAGTCAATCCAGAGTGTGCCATAGTGGAGCTCTTTATTCTTTGTACGCTCTTCTTTACAAAGTTATTTTTAAAGGAAACTTATATTTTAAAGAGGAGATTTTCCTAACCTGGGGGAATAGGGACTGAAGATTTCACTGTGAAGAAAAATTTTAAGTTTCCCTCAAAGGCATAAACAGTTAAAAAATAGGAGTGGGTCTTTTATTTTATTGTATGCAGTATTGGGGGATGAACACAGGGCCTCTGTATTAGCTACATCCACAGCCCCAACCCCTTTTTGGAGGCAGGGTCTTATTCAGGAGTTAAGTTGCCCAAGTTCAGCTCGAATGTGCCTTTCTCTCTCCTTAGCCTTCCAGAGCTAGCAGCAACACTTTCAGTGGTGAGTGCCAATGTTCCTTTCGTTTGCAGGCCTCTGGTAATTTCAAGAGATCAGCCAGTACAACCTGTTCCGATGAGGAGTTTGAGTTCAAATGTGAGAAGTGATATTTTCAAAGTCACTCAGTATTTTGAAGAATCATGAAGACTTGATCTCAACCTTCTCATCAGTAACGTTGAACAATATGCAAGCTTCACACTGGCCAGCCCCCAAGGAGCCTTCATCACTTCTCGGCTCATGCACATGCACACTGCTAATATTACTGTTACTTTCTGGCT